GTGTGCAGACACAAATGGTTTGAACTGTAGTCGTCACTCTTCTCATTCTCCATACCTTCATCTAACTAGCAAAATAAATATCATAATAATAATAAATATATATATATAATAATAGAAATGTGGGGGTAATGCATTGGAATACATATTTGGTCAGCCTCACAAGGAATTGTTGGTATTGGCAGAGGTAGAAGAAGGTTAAAAATGTTAACTTCCAGTGCAGAGTGAAAGAGAGGAATTATCAGCACAATGTTCTCACATTTACCTAACTGTTCAAGTGGAGCTTAAAATCTAATCTGATGCTGGATAGTTTGATAAATAATAATGCATCATATTAATGTTGAGACTTAGTTTTAACACACCACAGAACTCCTGAGAGGGAGGCTGTGAACGCAACGATCTGGCACGAGGTGGGACCTCAAACCAAATCCACACACAATGATTCCCCAGAGGAATGGTGTTTTTGTGATGAACATAAAAACCCGTTCAAAGGTCCACATCAATTATCTCTCACAGGAGATAAAGGGAGTTATCTCACACACATGTATTTGATTTGATGTACTGTATAATTCATTGCAGCATTAGAAAAGGGTCATTTCATAATTGTATTTCATTTTATTTTTTGTAAAAATATGTTTTTTAGAACCCCTCCAACTCCAAAATGGTGTTGCTTGCAGGAAGTTCTGGTCTCTTTTAGGGAAGTGTGTATTCAGTGTTACTCATCTTATTCTTACTCCAACCTGAAGAAGGTGAATCCCTCCTCCTCCGCATATCACACCATGAGGAAATAAATAAATGATTCAAGAACACACATGAATAAAATACATGATGCATGCCCATTGTGATGCCTGAAACACCTTTTCAATGCATTATGCTCACTTGTGTTTCATCCTACTTAGAGGAATGATGTGGATACCTTTATTGATTGTTTCACTCATCAGACACTGCACTGAACTGACACTAAGCAGAAAATCTCTTCAACTTATTTTGCATATGTACGTTTAAATATATGCAAACACATTAAGAGCCATTTTGTAGCATTTAGACAAAAAACCCATATATTGTGTAATTGGCTGTAAAAAGGAAACAGACACTGTAAGCCGAAGATAATTAATTAAGAACACTCTGTTTTATTTAATATTAACATTTACACTATCAAAGAAGAAAACATTCTCAAACTGTTATTGATGATAAACATATCAAATTTTGAAAAACAGTAACCACAACATACTCTTCAGAAGTGTGAAAATCCCCCCCAGAAAAATTGTTGAGTTAGGGGAAACTGTTGTCTACAACACCTTCCTAATTATTGGTACCTTTAATGAATTCAGCATTAGAAGTAATGCATTTATTTATTTATTCAAAACATGGACATTATCTGACAATAATGTGTTTGTTGGCAGGATGAGGTGGCCCATACAGTTACAGAGAGCAGAGTGTTACAACACACACGACACCCCTTCCTCACGGTAAGAACACTTGAAGGAGCTCTGCTGTTGAATGCAGTGCTGCCTCAGATAGAGCAGCCAGCAGCTTGTCTTTTTCATGAGCCACGTGGTCCTCAAGGGAATTTATATATTAATATAAATACCTATTTAACCAGATAAAAAGGATTTAAAAAAAAATTGAGATGAAATCTCTTTTGCAATGGTGAAGGCAGCAAAGGTACACAATAAGTACATGTCTTTCATACATACGTCTTCTGACATTTCATAGATCGCCATCATCAGCTCAAAATCTTAGTTTGTCCAAATACTACAGTGATCAAATACCTGCAAAACCCATCGTGGGTTACGTGTTTAGTGGTAATTGGTAAATATTAGCATGCTAACATGTGAAACTGAAATGGTGGGGAGATTTTCCTTTTCAGATGTAGGGGTCCTGAGACAGGATGTCATATGTTGTACAGATTGTAAAGTCCTCTGAGGCAAATTTGGGATTAGTGATTTTGGGCTATACAAATATATTGAATGGAGTTTAGGGTCAATTTAAATGCTCATTATACCTGCTAAACAAGAGTGTTATCATTGTCATTGTTAGCCTTTAGGTGAAAGCAGTGGAAGTGGAGCCTCACACCAGACCCACTGTTGGACGCGTTCTTTTTGCTTTTTGAGACAATATTGGGTTAGGTGAACTTTGTGTTGCTGTGTAACATTGATGAAAACAGACATATAATGTCAGTAGCTTTTGACTGATGACATGCATCATTAATATTTAGGGGAGGCCCTCTCATTTTCTTTAACATTCCTGGATGTAAGTGTTTATGTAGAATGTCCCAACATTTTTAATTTTCAATCCTCCAGTCACACAACCAGAGTTCACTCATCAGTTAGGAGTGCTGGGAAACTCACCTCCTGTAATCATCATGATCATTTCCTTCCTGCAGACACTGAAGTATGCTTTCCAAACCCATGATCGGCTCTGTTTTGTAATGGAATACGCTAATGGAGGCGAGGTGAGACCTCACAGTCGCATGGAGATGCACTAAATATCACTCGATGTCAACAGCTTGCCGTGCACATTCAAACACAGCCCTTCCTCTTTCAGCTGTTCTTCCACTTGTCACGGGAGCGAGTGTTCACAGAGGACCGGGCACGCTTCTACGGGGCTGAGATTGTGTCAGCGCTCGAGTACCTCCATTCACGTGATGTTGTTTACCGGGATCTGAAGGTGAATATACAATATTCATAGCATGATTTCAGAGAAGATGACGTGATTCATTCTGGTTTTAGATTTGACTTTTTAATCCATTCAATAAAGATGATGTCTTTAGTTAGAATAGAATTTAAGCATTTAACAGTATGTGATAGCAGTTTCAGTGTTTTTATTGATACTTCAGTCAAAGTAACATTTCCAGTAGAAATGATCTGGAAATGTTATTCTTTCACTGTTAAATTCCAATGTAGTTAAGAAATGACTTGTGACTTCTACTGGAATCAGCGTGTGCTGCTGAAGAGAAATGCTGAAATAAAGTCTGAGTGTTGCACATCGTATGGCCACATTTCGTCATTTCCCTTGTACAACAAGGTAGAATGCTCCTTTGTTCCATCGGATGTAGTTGAACAATAACTCTCGACAGGTAAGCCAAAATAACTGTTGAAAGTACAATGTTTAAAGTTCTTTCCATTCACATGGACTTTTGTAAGAGGGGGGGGGAATTAATCAGTGACTCATATGTGAGCAGTGGTGCACAGAGTTTGTATTTTGTAATTTGTGGGGCCCATATGTTGACACATAATGGAGAGAATGTAGGGTTAGCCATCGTTTTGTTTTTTGCGAAACAACCGTCTTTTAAGATTTTTGACTTGGTCCAAAAGTATAAACTATTTAGACTGCAGCACAACTAAATCCCCTTTAATTGTTCCAGTAGACAGTCAGAGACTATAAATGTAAATCTGGTCAGTATTTTCCAAATAGGGAGAACCACTAGATGAAGACAGATGAATTTCTTGACAAATATTATTCCTAAGATTAGTTTCTATCCGGCCATCCCTTCAGAACTTCTACAAAATCAGTGTAATCCTGTTGTGCACTATTGCAATGATCTTCATATCATTATTGTTTTTTCATTATGGGATTTTATCAGCCAGCACTAATACAGATCACAGTCCACTTTCACAGATAGACTTAGACTATGGCTCAGATCTTAAATCAGACTAAGTTACCATGTATTTTGAGGAAATTAAGACTCTTTGTCAAACTAAAAAACATGGCTTATTGAGCGCCTGTGTCTCTTGCTTCTCTCCAGCAGAAAATGTTTGCTGACTGGAAGGATTTTTTAGTTCCAACATTTTATTGGAAAATATGCAGAGCTGTGGTAGAGCTGAGCTGCTTATTGAAGTGGTAGGGCTCAGTACTTCTGCTAACCAGTCAACGACCAAGGATGTGCTCACTGCTGTATATTTCCAAATGGTTGTTGCTCGCTCATTTGGTGCCATAGACCAGCAGGTGTCACTGATTGCTGCATGGAAACATGGCTGTTAGTGTGGAGGAAGCCCTGAACAGGGTGGCTTATAAATCACTCTTTAAGTCAACTTTAACTAAGCAACAAACCCCAGCACAGTGTCAATTAATTCTTGACTATTCAGTGACCCAATCACAGTTTGATAAAAAAACGAATTCATTCAAAGCTCAGAAGCTGTCATCATATCCATGAATGATCATAAGACTGATGTGTTTGTCATTTTACTCTCTCAGCTGGAGAATCTGATGCTGGATAAAGACGGCCACATCAAAATCACTGATTTTGGCCTTTGTAAGGAAGGCATTACCCCTGACGCTACCATGAAAACCTTCTGTGGTACTCCTGAATATCTTGCACCTGAGGTAAGGTACTGAAACTGACTGGGTACAACATGTTAAACACAGTTTTGACCTCTACAAAAGCGCTCATTTTCACACACACTAACGAATATATATATATATATATATATATGTATGTATGTATATATGTATATATGTACGTACGTATGTATATGTATGTGTATATATATATATGTGTGTATATATATATATATGTGTGTATATATATATGTGTGTATATATATATGTGTGTGTATATATATATATGTGTGTGTATATATATATGTGTGTATATATATATATGTGTGTATATATATATATGTGTGTATATATATGTGTGTATATATATATGTGTGTATATATATATATGTGTGTATATATATATATGTGTGTATATATATATATGTGTGTATATATATATGTGTGTATATATATATATGTGTGTATATATATATATGTGTGTATATATATGTATATGTGTGTATATATATGTATATGTGTGTATATATATGTATATGTGTGTATATATATGTATATGTGTGTATATATATGTATATGTGTGTATGTATATATATATATGTGTGTATGTATGTATGTATGTATGTATGTATGTATGTATGTATGTATGTATGTATGTATGTATGTATGTATGTATGTGTGTGTGTGTGTGTGTGTGTGTGTGTGTGTGTGTGTGTGTGTGT